TTCCAGAATCGGCATATCCCGATGTTCAACGCCAGGAAATTCCCCTTACATCACATGGAACCCTTCCTGAAGGCCCCAGAGATTGATGAGGACTACAAGATCATCAATGACTCCCGCTATTGGACTTACAAGATAGAGGACAAGAAGCTAGCGCAACTTGATATGACTACTAGACTTACCTTCTTCGGACTAGCCAGATCTAGGGCTATCAATGAAGCACTCATCTCGAAGTTAAAGAACTCCACCGCCGAAGATGACCGGATGATATATTCTGCGCTACTGACCCAGAAAAGGACCACCAATTTATGTCGGAGCATCTAGCACCCACATCAGCGGGCCTGACTCTTCTGGAGGAGACAAGGATTATTGTCATCGTACACCTGGAGTGAAGCGGTTCACCAAGTCCTTATACAGAGCCCCATGGCATCCATCTTTGGAGGACTGACTGAGCAGCGCATCCATTCATCACGGTGAGGGGACACCAGAAATGGGATCACACATTGTGCCCATGTGGGGATTGAAAGAGCCAGCGCTTTAACCACGAGGGCTACCCCACCGCAAATCAAAGAGGTTAAGCCAAAGACACCGCGAATCAAGGGAGGTCATGATGATAAAGTCCATAGATACCTTGGCAAATGTGATTAAGCCAGACCTCTCCAGCTGCTCCAGCAAATCCAAGTTTGCAGGAGTCCAGAGAGCCAGAGAAAAGAAGTATTCCAGCTCAAGAGGAGGAAGAGGTTCTTTTCATTAAGCCCAACCGAGTCCCCAGAAGTAACCCCCGGAAGAGGCCGAGCACCCAGGGGTGCCAGGGGATCCAAAGCTGAAGGTTAGGTTTGGAGCGACTGGAGTCTTCCACCCCCAGCCGTTCCTGTACAACCTTCGACAGTGGGTGGACGTCTTCAACAGTACTGGGAGAATTGGGGAATACTACAGGACGACTATGTATCCCAGATACTACACAGAGGGTACAAGATACAGTTGGAAGCCACCCCGCCACTTACAAGCAACCCGATAGCCTTCAGATACGCAGCCGACCAGACAGAGAAACTGGACGACGCAATAAAGACTCGACAAAGATGCAGTAGAAGAGATAAATCAAGATCTCATCACGCCCGGTTTTACTCCCCAATTTTCCTGGTACCGAAGAAGAATTCCAAGGAGAAGCTTTGGCTCATCTACAACATGAGGAAGTTCAGACCAGCAAAATTCAAGAGGATACATCTTCCTCAGCTCCGACATCTCGTTCGTCCATCAGACTACCTCGCCAGCATAGATCTACAAGATGCGTATCTACACATCCCGATACATCCAGACTCAAGGAAATACCTAAGATTCCTTTTCAACGGACATCACTTCCACAGGAAGGTTTTACCGTTTGGAATATCGTCGGCCCCCTGGTTGTTTACTCGAGTGACCAAGCCCATCGTCACATATCTACATCGTCGAGGTCTACGCAGTGCTTTTTACCTGGACGACGGAATTCAAGTTTATCAAGATCCCAGTCAACTCAGACTGCAACTAGACTTCACCATCAGGCTTCTCACTCAGTTAGGATGGCTGGTAAATCTCCTCAAGTCGGAACTGGAGCCGAAACAGGATCTTCAATTTCTAGGAATACGTCTCATCACGCCGGTGAATCACATAGTCGTCCCAGAGGATCGTTGGGTCAAGATACAACATATGATATCTCAAGCAATGCTCTCTCCGTTGACACTACGTGCTTGGCAAAGCATGCTCGGTCTACTCACCTCAGCTCAAGACATGACTTGCCCATCTCGACAGTCTGATTCTACCGGACAGCCTGAAACCATACCTTCTGTGGTGGACTCGGAAGTTGAATGTTTGCGGAGGAACCTTTTTGTCAGAGCCAGTTTGCAACACTCATCTCTACGTAGATGCATCTCTACAAGGATGGGTTGCCCACCTCGACAACAAAGTGGCAGCAGGGAAGTGGTCGAGTCAGGATCAGAGTCTGCACATCAACCTGTTGGAGATGAAAGCAGTGATCAACGCTTTACAACACTGGTCCAGCATACTAAAGAACGCAAGGCTCATGGTCCACACGGACAACTCCACAGTAGCGTTCTACATCAACAAACAAGGATCAACAAGATCAACAAGTCTGCTACAACTCAACTTTCTCCTGTTCAGCATCGTCGACGACCTGAACATCTACATGAAGGCATGCCACATTCCAGGAGCAAAGAATGTCATAGCAGACGCCCTATCTCGTCCACTTCAACCATCCCCGACGGAGTGGATGTTACACCCAGAAGCGTTCCGGTTCGTCATATGGACAACAGGATCTCCACTGATAGACCTGTTTGCAACAAAGTTCAACAAGCAACTACCAACATTCGTCTCTCCGATTCCGGATCCGGATCAGGCATGGGCAACAGACGCTTTAAGCGGGAAGGTCATGGGAAGGTCTAAACGCTTATGCGTTTCCAACTCCAGCACTACTACCACAAGTAATACAGAAAATCAAGCAGACGACAACGCTGCAACTGATTTTGGTCGCGCCCTATTGGCCAGCGAGGGTATGGTTTCCCGTCCTCATACAAGAACTCGGAAGTCAAACCCTGAAACTACCAGAGTGGTCGAACCTGCTCGTCCATCCACACACCAAGCAAGCTCACGGGAATCCGGCATTGTTCCATCCACACACATGGAGCGTATCAAAGCTTGCCTGAAGACTAGAGGGTACTCCGCCAGAGCAGCGAAAGCAGAGACACTAGCTCTATGCAGATCAACTCGCAACTTGTACGACGACAAGTGGCAGAGATTTGAACAATACAGCGGTAAAAGCAACCCATCCTCATGTGGCAGAATACCTGTGTCATCTGCGACAGATGAGACACTTAAAAGGTTCAACACTCTCAACATACCTGGCTGCTCTCAGCACAGTTATCACCATGAAGACGGGTGTCAAGCTGACCAAAGTACCAGAGATACTGGCACTACTACGCTCGTTCAAGTTGGAAGACCAACAAAAGAAATTCAAGGTTCCTGCCTGGGATCTCAACATAGTTCTACAACATCTCACCAGTGACATCCTTTGAACTACTGACTCAGAAAACGCTGTTCCTGATCGCCCTAGCAACAGCAGTACGGATGTCAGAAATACATGCTCTGGACTTTGAACGAACACAATTTGAATCAAGACATCGTGACATCGTACATCTAGGACTGAGATAGGATTTTATTGCCAAGAACCAACTGCCCGGCCAGCCTGACAGACAGTTCCACATCCCAGCACTCTCTACAGTCCTTGGGCCACAGGATACACAGGATGTATCCTTATGCCCTGTCAGAGCACTAAAAGTCTACCTACAAAGAACAAAAACAAGGAGACGAAAATTCAAGTGCCTATTCATCCCCTTATCAACTGAGACGCCCACGGAAGTCTCAAGGACAATGATATCGATATGGATGAGAGACGTTTTACTAAGGGCCTACAAAGCAGCAGGACTTGAGCCTCCCGAGCCTCCAATCCCCACGAAGTCAGAGCCCTGGCATCTACACTTGCTCTGCATGGAAACTGCTCGATTACAACAATAATGGAGGGCTGCTTTTGGAAATCGGACACAGTGTTTGCCAACCACTACCTCAGAGACATTGCCAGCGAAGACGTATTCACCAGTTTAGGCCACTTGTTGTAGCACAACTAACAGTTCCACAAAGGCGGTGAGAAAAATCTCACCCTTTTATCACGTGACTTGTGAAAACCAATGCTCTGGAAAGCAAATGGTTAAAGTCCATGCACACGTCTAGGACAGGCTAGCATGAGTGATAGACCCTGTACTTGTATAGGACATACTCGCCGTACATGAAGAAGGGTCGCATCTCCACTTGATGTGCGCATCAAGTGATGGAGTTGCAATAGATAACTAATGGAATATTAGTATATCTAAAATCCACACGAAAATGTCAGAAGTTTCGGAAGAAATCCGACAAGTTGTGGTTCCCCCCAGACTCATCAGAGGAAGTTGAAAGAACAGAATCATCGGCAGTGGCGTCATAAGTTCCCATGGGGGGTAATACATTACGTAAATCAACAGCTGGAGAATCCAGAAGTGGCCTAACCCACCACCGATTCCGACGGATTCTGCAGGCATTTAGCATGAGTCAGGATAAGGAAAAATATGTACTTTTCTGACTAAAAATGATATTTTATACTTATCCTGACTCATGAGGTCAGCCCTCCCAACCTCCCCTCTTATGGCACTCTGGATTTCCCTGTAAATCCGGGTGTCGGGCATACATACAAAACATGGCCGGTCAGGTGACCAAAAAGGCGGCCAAAGGGGCAAGGGAGGTAACTCGTGGGTGAGTAGTGATTTTCGTCCGCTTTTTAGAAGGGAACTTCAAGGGATTTCAAGTGTTCCACTATCATTCGCAAGGAGAAGGAGACAAGCATTTAGCATGAGTCAGGATAAGTATAAAATATCAATTTTAGTCAGAAAATTACATTTATTTAACAAAAATACTTGAGATTTATACATTATTTAGCAAGTACATCAATTGGAAACATGACATCTTCCAGTCTAATAGATCATTGACTGAGTGATCAAGTCCTCTGTTTTGTTTTCTCATATCAGGGCTCGAAAAATTAAAAAATCTGCACTCACCCTATAGAGCGAGAAATATGAACTTTCCACTTGTCCTTCTAGAATTGTACTTGCCCTAAGATCATGCATCATTTCAACATGTTTGCTTGGAATATAACTACAATAAACATTACTTACTTTGTCTTCCGTACAAAATCTTTGACAAAATTGAATTCTTTCACCATTTAAGATAGCTGAACTTCAAGGGAAAAGAACAGTGTTACTTTTGGGTCAGAAAACGTACTTCCTCTAAGATGAGCTATATGTTTTTTCACTTGCCCGAAACAAATTGTACTCGTCAATACGATTTTGGAGCCCTGTCATATGTTTTATATGTCATGACATGTTAGGCTAGAATCCTGACTAGAGTGATGTTTACCTCTGATGCAGGGAGTTTGAAGGAACCGTGGGGACTGTCTGTGGCTATTGAAGTTCTGTTGGAGACGGCTGTGACTCTCAAGGGCTCTCATGTAGTCACCGTGCTCAATGTCCTTGATACGTATGTAGGTGAGTTATCTCCCCTGACACTGGCTCCACACACATCACAGGCAGAATCAGTGACAGACCCTTGACCTTTGACTCACAGACATGGTATTGAGATGGCACAGCGGTTCACTGTGCAGAGTTGTATCATCAGCTGGAGATCATGGGCTCTAATACCAGCGCGCTGCTCTAGTTGTTTCTTGGTTTGCTCTTGTTCGTTGACATGTCTGTGCATGTGACATCACATCTGTTGACAACATCAGTGACCTATCACATATTGGGAAGTAACGGAAATACTGTCTTTCAGTGGCATTTAGAAGTTGTGCATTGATGTCCAAGATATTTTTATGGATTAAACTTCTTTTTAATTTCCCTCACAACGTTTCGAGACCATTCCAGGTCCCTTCATCAGGTGAACTGACAGTTGGGACTATGACGTCGTAACTGAGTTATGACGTCACAATGCAAGTGACATCACAGTACATTAGGGAGAGTACAGTATAAGTGAGGTTGAAGTGTTAATTACATAATGATGAACACAAGTCGTCAGTATGCAAACAAAATGATAAGTCAGCTATATCGGAGGACAAGGCAAATAACCCAATTCATGTAATCATGTGGAATGATATCAGGGTGCTTTCAAGCAATAACAACGACTGGCGTCGGAGGAAACGACATGAGGCGGTCGAGACAAGGAGACATAAAACTGCAATGAATCGTGATCAAGGTGTCTACCTGCCAAGTGCGTGGGACCTCTTGATTAACTTTTGATGAACTTTAGATAAATAAAAAAAAGCCTACTATTTACTTTTTGGAAAGCCTGCTATCCATTAACTTTTGTGTAATTAGCTTTGTGTATTGACAATTCAACTTTCAACTCTATTATCTAGCATGAATTTTCATCATTATGTAATTAACACTTCAACCTCACTTATACTGTACTCTCCCTAGTGTACTGTGATGTCACTTGCATTGAGACGACGTCATAGTTCTAACTGTCAGTTCACCTGATGAAGGGACCTGAAATGGTCTCGAAACGTCGTGAGGGAAATTAAAAGAAGTTTAATCCCCGGAGGGAAATTAAAAGAAAAGTTTAATCCCTAAAATACCCTGGACATTAACAGAAACAGTGGAGTTCAAATGTGATCTTTCAAGTAACACCCTGGCCTCCACTGGGTGACCAACAGTGGAGTTCCATGATCATCTTGAACACTGAAGGTCAAGTTTAATTTGCCACTTGAAGGTGGAGTCCATTTCCTTTGAAAGTCCAAAAAAAAAAATGAATAAAAACCTCTAATTGTTTCAGATTCAGCCAATTTTGACGTAAGAATGGAAACCATTTTACGACAGCTTGAGAGCAGATTTGTCAAGGTGAGATTGATTTGTGGGTGAACATTTGGTTTCAGTCGTGTGGTTCAGTCGTGTCTGAAATGAAATGTGTTACATTTGTGATATCTTGTATCTCCCCAAGTGTTCCTTGACATTGTGTGTGACTGATAGAGCATTGATGGAGAGAGATGATAGTATTGATGGAAGGAGATGGAAGATGGCCGGTATTTCGATTACAGTACTGTTGGCTTAGGTCACAGACTGGAGCACAATGGTGGTATTTATGGGTTACCTGACTGATAGAGCATTGATGGAGAGGATGGAGGCCGGTATTGATGGAGAGGATGGCCAGTATTGATGGAGTTACAGTGTTCCTGACTGATAGAGCACTGATGGAAGGATTGGAATATTATTGATGGAGTAACAGTACTGAAACTGATAGAGCACTGATGGAGGATGGTCAGATCAGCATTGTGACATGTGCTGATGGAGGATGGTGGTATTGATGGAGGAGTATTGATGGAGTTACAGTACGGTATTGATAGAGCACTGATGGAGGATGGCCATTGATGGAGAGGATGGCCGGTATTGATGGAGTTACAGTACTGTCGGCTTAGTCAGGAGTTCAGCTCAAATGATTTCATGATGATAAACACTTTGTGTCAAGGTTGCCCCTGCAATGTGGTATTATAGAACTGACGGCATCTCAAAACAAGGTTGTCACTCACTTGTTCCAGCACTTACGCATGCTCACACTCACTCACTAGTGTTGGGAATTGGTTAAAAACTCATAATTGATGATTGGTTCATTACTACCGATCAATCATCGAAAATAATTGGTTAGCGTCATTTATGAAATTTGTTAATGCACATTAAAAAAGGGGGAACAAATGTAGTTCTTCTGGGCCTTTTTGGCAAAATTTCACATCTTTAAAGAATGACTAGTATGTTAGGAACATAAATTTCTTGGAATCTTTAAGATAAATTCAATCATGACTTGAAACGAGCTTGTAGTACTTATGAAATGTAACAGACAAAACCAACCATGTGAAAAATATTGTTAATGAAAACAAGTGTTCCAGAATTGTTTGTGTTCGATTATGAGAAATTATGATCGATTGCTTGGTCATTTAGTCACTACGACCAATCTTCGATTATTTCAATTAATCGGACCACCACTATCACTCACACATGCACACACGCACGCACGCACGTACGCGCGCACGCACACGCACGCACACACACACACACACACACACACACACACGTCCCTCTTTCTGGATCTTCTAGTGTGTTCTTTTAATATTTCAGCCTCCATTTGGAAAGGCAAGAACCTATCACAAAGAGTTTGGCCAGGTTCTGGGGCAGCTCCTCATATTGTCCCGACTGTGGAATACGCAGTAGGTGCCTTGTGGTTGTCCCGGTGAAGGGTTTCCTTCTCAATTTACATGATTATTATCCAATATAATCCTAATCATATTTTCATATTTGCTGATCAGGGGAATGAAACATGATTACTTAATGTTAGAATAAAACATCTGTGTTTGAAGTCATGTTTTGTCAACACTGGATGTAACTTTCGAAAATGACTCAAGATATTGTGTGAGTCATAAGGATGTTTTCAATGGCAGGGGAAATGCTGCATAGAGGCTGGAAGTTGAAGGCACTAGTATAACCCCTCACTAACAGAGTGGCCAATAAACATGCAAGCTAATCTTTGTCTGCTCAAGTTGTGTATGTTTGATGTGTTTTCTGTTTTATATATTTGCCGTTATTTATTTACAATCATCTCGTGTCAAACACACTGATTACCAGCCGCCTCATGTGTTATGTTTTCTGTCACAGCACCGCTGACATGGTCCAGGATTTTGTCCTCAACATCGTAGAAAAATGGGCCATCTACAACCGAAATGTGAGTACACCACACCGCTTGTCATACGATCAACAGACTGATATATCACTCTCCATATTTGCCTCTCTGGCCTAGTTGATAGAGCATCCACCATGACAGCAGCATGTTATAAGGTACTTGTTTTTGCCCTGCCAACCGATGAAACAAAGATTTGTTGGAGATTCAGTATACTAAGAATCCACTATGGCTACGCATCGTACTGTGGCATGGTGTTATGGTGGGCTGGCAGTATAGAGCCAACTTTCGTCTGGAGTAGCAGTAACCTTGACCCCTATTTCACTCCTGTATGTGATTCTGCTCATGCTTGCCTGAAGGTAGAAGAGTGTATAATCTCCCCCACCAATTACAACATGGTCTTTATGTCCCATCAGATCACTAGTCAGTTACTCCGGCATCAAGAAAACAACTTAAACAGTGCTGGTCATGGACTTGGTCCTCATGTTGTGTCTCCAGAAAAATCTGTTATTGACTTTTCAACTTGATCAAGTATCTTAGGGAAAAGGTGACTGCCTGTGATCGGGGTGGTGGGATAGACCTGTAGTTAAAGCATTGGCTCATCACGAAGACCTGGGTTTGATTTCCTACATGAGTACAATGTGTGAAGCCCACTTCTTGTGTACCCCGCTATGATATTGCTGGAATATTGCTAATAGCAGAGTAAAACCATGCTCACTCACTCACTGTCTGTGATCTGTGTGACCTTTGTTGACCTTTGTTGTACCTTGGTTGAGAATCTCAGTCTAAATGTTGACCGAACATAGACTTGAGGGTTTGATCAAATCATGATGGTTGGTGACAATACATGGTTTGCCAATCTTGTGAATTGTTATAACTGGAGACTGCATAAAAGTATAAATTATAAGCGTTTCGAATTCACTTTTGTGTAACAAAGTCATCATTTGTATATTTATTACCGGTCTTCACCCATGTTGACAAATTATGACTAGCATTAGGGGCGGTGGGGTAGCCTAATGGTTAAAGCGTTGGCTCGTCACGCCGAAGACCCGGGTTCGAATCCCCACATGGGCACAATGTGTGAAGCCCATTTCTGGTGTCCCCCGCCGTGATGTTGCTGGAATATTGCTAAAAGCGGCGTAACACCAAACTCAGTCAGTCAGTCAGTATGACTAGCATTGACCCATCTGGAACCAAACTCACCTGTCATGACCTGCATTGACCTGCATTGACCTTGACCTGCAGGGGTATCACGTGGGCCTGCAGTATGAGAAGATCCAGCAGATGTACACGGACTGCCTGGAGGGGTTGTGGCTGGTGGCAGCTGACATCATCACCGACATTGATCCGTCCACCTTCACACGGGTACACGACTGGCTGCAGGAGAAGGTCTTAGCTCAGACACATCCAAGGTAATACTCTTGTAGCTTACACAGATTCATGTGAACACTCCTCTAGGTCAAACATATTCAGACAACACTCTTGTGTAGCTCAGACAAGTACAAAGTAATGGTTTAGCAATACCTGTGACCAGCAATGAATTGTCCCCTGAGGAAGCAGTTGTTGACATTCCAGGGAGATTCGAGAGCAGGTGCTGAAGCTGTTGCTGAAGCTGAGCCCAGTGAAAGTATTTGATGCAGAGCAGATTCGCCCCAAAACAGTCAGTGCCGAGGTCCAGACAGAAGCCTCCTCCTTCGCTGTTCCTGACCCCAACTCAACAGCACAGTCCCACATGGAGGGTAAGTCACAGTAAATACAGTCAGGAGGTCAGTAGTGCCTGGAACAGTCCCACATGGAGGGTAAGTCACAGTAAATACAGTCAGGGGTTCAGTAGTGCCTGGAACAGTCCCACATGGAGGGTAAGTCACAGTAAATACAGTCAGGGGTTCAGTAGTGCCTGGAACAGTCCCACATGGAGGGTAAGTCACAGTAAATACAGTCAGGGGTTCAGTAGTGCCTGGAACAGTCCCACATGGAGGGTAAGTCACAGTATATACAGTCAGGGGTTCAGTTGTGCCTGGAACAGTCCCACATGGAGGGTAAGTCACAGTATATACAGTCAGGAGGTCAGTTGTGCCTGGAACAGTCCCACATGGAGAGTAAGTCACAGTATATATAGTCAGGAGTTCAGTAGTGCCTGGACTTTCGGAACTTGGATGTCAGCATTGTCACCATTTGTCAAACTACACAACCAGTTGTCTTGAATCAACTTCAGTTTCACATCAGCATCAAATTTAAGGGTCAGATTTCTAGAGGATACAAAATGTAAAGCATCAAATTTAAGGGTCAGATTTCTAGAGGATACAAAACTAGTGTACAGTGTGAAGAACCCTTGAAACATATTTGAAAATACTAGCAAAACAGAAGCTGCTTCCTCACTGTGTGCTTATAGGAGTGTGACTGTTACCTGGAAGTTATTAGTTTGGGAAATATTAGATACCTCCATACAGTGTGACTGTTACCTTCAGTTTGGGGAAATATTAGATACATACAGTGTCCATACAGTAGTACAGTGTGACTGTTACCTTCAGTTTGGGAAATATTAGATACCTCCATACAGTGAAATATTGATACTGTTACCTTCAGTTTGGGGAAATATTAGATACCTCCATACAGTGTGACTGTTACCTTCAGTTTGGGGAAATATTAGATACCTCCATACAGTGTGTGACCTTCAGTTTAGGGAAATATTGTACAGTGTGACTGTTACCTTCAGTTTGTTACCTTCAGTTTGGGGAAATATTAGATACCTCCATACAGTGTGACTGTTACCTTCAGTTTGAGGAAATATTAGATACCTCCATACAGTGTGACTGTTACCTTCAGTTTGGGGAAATATTAGATACCTCCATACAGTGTGACTGTTACCTTCAGTTTGGGGAAATATTAGATACCTCCATACAATGTGACTGTTACCTTCAGTTTGGGGAAATATTAGATACCTCCATACAGTGTACTGTTACCTTGTGACTGTTACCTTCAGTTTCAGGGAAATATTAGATACCTCCATACAGTGTGACTGTTACCTTCAGTTTGGGGAAATATTAGATACCTCCATACAGTGTGACTGTTACCTTCAGTTTGAGGGAAATATTAGATACCTCCATACAGTGTGACTGTTACCTTCAGTTTGGGGAAATATTAGATACCTCCATACAGTGTGACTGTTACCTTCAGTTTGGGGAAATATTAGATACCTCCATACAGTGTGACTGTTACCTTCAGTTTGGGGAAATATTAGATACCTCCATACAGTGTGTGTTACCTTCAGTTTGAGGGAAATATTAGATACCTCCATACAGTGTGACTGTTACCTTCAGTTTGGGAAATATTAGATACCTCCATACAGTGTGACTGTTACCTTCAGTTTGGGAAATATTAGATACCTCCATACAGTGTGACTGTTACCTTCAGTTTGGGGAAATATTAGATACCTCCATACAGTGTGACTGTTACCTTCAGTTTGGGGAAATATTAGATACCTCCATACAGTGTGACTGTTACCTTCAGTTTGGGAAATATTAGATACCTCCATACAGTGTGACTGTTACCTTCAGTTTGGGGAAATATTAGATACCTCCATACAGTGTGTGACTGTTACCTTCAGTTTCAGTTTGGGAAATATTAGATACCTCCATACAGTGTGACTGTTACCTTCAGTTTGAGGGAAATGTGGAATACCTCCATACAGTGTGACTGTTACCTTCAGTTTACAGTGTGACTGTTACCTTCAGTTTGGGGAAATATTAGATACCTCCATACAGTGTGACTGTTACCTTCAGTTTGGGGAAATATTTACCTCCATACAATGTGGACTGTTAATGAGGGAAATTAGATACCTCCATACAGTGTGACTGTTACAGTTTGTTACCTTCAGTTTGGGGAAATATTAGATACCTCCATACAGTGTGACTGTTACCTTCAGTTTGGGGAAATATTAGATACCTCCATACAGTGTGACTGTTACCTTCAGTTTGGGGAAATATTAGATACCTCCATACAGTGTGACTGTTACCTTCAGTTTGGGGAAATATTAGATACCTCCATACAGTGTGACTGTTACCTTCAGTTTGGGGAAATATTAGATACCTCCATACAGTGTGACTGTTACCTTCAGTTTGGCAGTTTGAGGAAATATAAGCCTACTTGAAATCCCGCTGAACTCGCTGATCAAACTACTTGAGTAATGAAAATATTCTCAAAATAAGAGAAGAACAGTTGAATAATTTGTTGTCTTGGCTTGTAAATGAAGTCAGCTTCATCTCTCTAGTTTCAAACATGTATATTTTACTGACAGGAAGAAATTTTCATAAGTAACATTTGAAAACATCTGTTAAACAAGCAATTAAAAGAAAACACCTGTTAAACAAGCAATTATAAGAAAAAGTCCTGAAAAGTGGTATTCTGATTTCAGATAGCTCCCTGTTCAGTCACTTTGATACCGAGATAGAGGACATCTCTCCCGTGGCTGGTGATAGTCGGGGCAGAGACGAGGTCAGCCTGGGGTATCATCCATCTCCCGCCACCTCGCTGCAGCCTCCAGACCAGACAGTGACCAGTCCTGCAGCTCCTTCAGCTCCTGCAGGGGAATACAGCTCCTGGGCTGACTGTGTCAGCTCAGGGAAACACAAAAACTACATCCGTGGTCCCACAGACAGAGGTCTCAAAGCGTTAGCCCTCCAGACATTGAGTGGAGAGAAATATGTTTTCTCTGGAAAATTTGTTCAAGATTTGCCACCGAGGTTTAAGAAGCATCTGAATTCACAGCAACATGTTACAGAGGAGAAGCCGGATAGTGCTCACTTCTATCGCAAAGGGGAAAAGAACAGTGTGGCACCTGGCTTGGACTATCAGACTCCAAAACAGGCTGACAGTGGGGATGAAGTGAAGGAGATTGGAGGGGATGAGGTGCATGCTAGTACGTCTATGTTTACCAAGCGTGGGTTGGGCGAGTTCCCTTCAGTAAAGGACATCCTCAACAGCAGCTATGGACAGAATGAAGTGGAGAGTGATACTGGGAGTGAGACTCATACAAGATCACTCACTCCTGTAGACACTGGAAAACACTCCCCAAATGAAGGTCGGTCAAGGTCAGCAAAGTCAAAAAGAACTACCCCTCCAACGTCACATTCCCCAGATCACAGGTTAGCTTTAAATGTTAATGCTAAAGAGTGGGTGCCAGTCACATCACCAGTGGGCCAACACTCTAGGGTGTCTTCAGGGGCATCGCCAGTAGGTCAACACTCTAGAACGCACTTAGGGAGGTCACCCGTAGGTCGGGCCTCTCGGATGCTCGTAATGACGTCACCTGTAGGTCAACCCTCTAGGACACACTTAATGACGTCACCTGTAAGTCAAGCCTCTGGGACACACTTAATGACGTCACCCGTAGGTCATGGCTCAAGGAGTCCTTTACATATGTCACCAGGACACAGTTCCTCCCGAAGGGATGTAGGACTCAACTTAAGTTCATCAAGTTCGGAAGACTTGAGTGGTGCATGGAAATCAGGTTCACGAAAATCTGGTCACAACTCATCTTCTTCTTCCATCAAGTCCATCGTGGAGGACATCTTTGGAAGTGGAGACTTCACCGTTCAGTCAGAGCAGGGCCAGGTGGCCGAGTCATCTGAAATAGAGAAGCTGGTGGTTGCAGACAGCAACACTGAGACCGACAGAGCCAACACCAGCTTCAGTGTGTCCGAGATCACCAGTGAGGTCGATGATGAACAGTCCACTGTGACTGATTCCAATGATACAGAATTTCGGGGTAACCCAAAATGTCTAATCCAACCGGAGTACACCAGCCAGTATGGCTTTGAGGACGATGTGGATGAGGATGATTACGAAGGATTTGTATTGTCTGGGGAAGGTGACATTCCTGTGAAAGACAGTGGTGAGAAGGACAGTAGCTTCTCGTCATGTGTTGACTCTGGAGTGGTGGAAGAGATGGACTATATGAAGCCATTGCATCAGAGCCACGAACAGCCTCGACAACCTCGGTACAGATGGGTTCCTGGGAAGCGCAGCTGCACGCTCTGTGGTTCAACAGAACATACTGTGTACAGCTGCAAGAAGAAGACAAGCATCATCATCTGAAGTTTCTATCCAGATGGAATAAGCAGAATTGTGATAGAATGTGCCACAAAAGCAGGGCAACACAAGAAAGTTCAGTTCAATTTCCTCCAAATCAAAATCATGTGTTTTACAGGCAAAACGTTCCAAATGAACATTTTAAGATGATGAAAACCATTGAGATTTAATTGCCAGGACAGAAACTTGATCTGGATTGATGGATTTAGTATTGGAAACTTGATACTGTTTTTGTTCCTCGCAAGCAGATGTCCAATTTGACGTAAGCTTGGTTGTCACATCAGTTGTTGGACTGCTGTATGTTGTGTGTCTGAGGTGTCCATTAAATGCACAGTCAGCAAATATTGTGTACATCTTTAAAGATATGGTGAACTGGATTTAATGGCAAAAAGTATGGAAACAATTATTTTTTTAAGTCCATCTCCCAGGTGTGACTTGTTTTGAGGGCAGCCAATCCTTGAGTGCCATAAAATATGAGCTCTCAAAATTTTGTAATTTGGACATGTTTATAGACTAATATATTTATGTATGTAAATATGGCAAAATTGTGTTATTAGCATGCTGGGCTAAAGTGTGTCTGAATTCTTCTAGTGTCTTGGCCAAAGCCTATGATGTGGGCTGACGATAATGGAACAATAGTAACATTATTTTAAAAATAAGAAGCGATGATCTATTCTATAGTATGCCTTGCCATGACTTTAGGTAAAACTGACAGTCTACCAACCCACAAGGACAATCATGGAGTGGTTACTCTCTTGATAAAGATATTGGTGTTTTTAAGACTATCTGCTCATTACATTGAAATATGATGTGGTGGTTGTCTCAAGACAACATGGTGGCTGTGCTAAGGATATGAGAGCAAGAGTAGTTCCATGCTTCTTGAGGTGAGAATAAGGAGCATCATTGTATAACTTTTAGAAACATACTCAATTATGAGTGAAAATTACAAATTTGCCTCAGTGGTTGGAGGTTTTAGAGGTTGGTGTGCAATTTGTCAGTATGTGCTTATTGGAGCAGGTATTTAATACCGTATTGATGAAGGATTGTTCCAGAACAAGAACTGGTTGATTGCAAGGACAACAGGTATAAGGGACACTCTTCTCCCATTTGATGTTATGTTGTAGGTATGGAGAATTGTAAAGGTAGGAGGTATAGGGGGTGGGTTTAATGTAGCTTTGAGCAGTATTACAGTAATATCCTGGTGTATCAGCTGGATGTCAGGAGAGGGTAGTTTGAAGTTGCTAGAAATGGGGGGTTGGGGGTGGGGTCATCAGGTTTGTACACATGTACAAGGGGGTCAGCATTTTGTACATAATATTAAAAACCATATCTCTCACACACACACACACACACACACACACACACACACACACCACACACACACACACACACACCCTAATTAACTTGGACACTCCCATGATCATAATTATGTTTTCTTAAAGATAAAACAATTTATTTATATGTCATTAAATAATTTATAAATTGAATAATATTAACTACACTTACTAGCAAAACTGTGAGTTATTAACCTATGTTGCTCTTGAGTAATGTGTAAATTATATTGGCAAGACCTGCATGCAGCACAATACAACCCTCAATAAGTAGACCCTTGAAGATCTGGGTTAGAATTGATCTTCAGCAACCCATTTTTGTCGGAAGTGGCGTCTAACAGGATTGGGTGGTCAGGCTCTCTGACTTGGTTGACACATCATCGCATCCCAATTGCGTAGTTCGATTGTAGTAACAAAACCCTTTATTCACAAAAGCTAAATTGATAGTGCTTCCAGACAATCTCATCTCACTTCAGGTTTTTTGTACATTATGTCTTGTCAGCTTAGGTAAATTAGTCATCGTTAATTTTGTTTGATGAAGTAACTTATTTGGAATAATGTATGTATATCTGAATAATATCTACAAGTGTGTGAAAGTATACTTGTAACCCATGGCCTCGTTGCACAAAGCCTTGATAGTGCTACAACTGTATAGGATTTAAAATATACTCAACAGCAAAAGAAACGCAAGTATGGCTTTTGTCACTTTACCGTGACCGTTCCATGAACGTGAACGCTTACTTTTATGAGATTTCATTTTTTCGAAACTTGTGTTTCTTTTGCGGTTCAGTATAGTTGTAGCATTGCGATCACTTCGTAAAACAAGGCCCATTTTTTCCTTGGCCAAGGTATATATCTTGTTTTACAGATGTTGCTAAACCATTCAATACTTGAGGCAATCAAAATAGCAAAATAAAATGTCATGGCTTAATATATTTATTAATTAGTTTTGTGGGAAATGATAAATGCTGTTTACAGTGCAACATGTTCTTATGATTGTTTCCTTAAAATTTTCAAATTTTGAATAATTACTTTTTTTTATTAATTCAATCATGGATTTTTAAAAAATGAAGGAAAAAAAGCTGTTAATTTTTTCTATATTGGCTTTATGCTCCTTTTTGTCTCTGGAAATCAGAAAAAAAGACTTCAGTCCAAACAGGCTGTTCCTGTGCGTATTGTTCTCAAGGTTAACTGGTGGAACTCAGTGCTGTCAGTGTTCACTTCTTTCATATCAATCTATGACAAACTGGAAATATGAGTGGCGTATATCAACTGGTTTTATGTATCATTCATCTGGTCAAAAATTCATCCATGTGTAACTCAGTGAAGCTCGGTCCATCTCATTTGGGTCAGACAGTTTGTTTCACATTGGTGCATGGTAGAACTCTTGGGACTCAGCTTCTACCAGTGTAAGGTAGGACCTAGTGTCAGAGTAACTGTTTGGGCATCTTCCAAGGTTACAGAAGTCCAACCAAATTAAATCTTTTGTCTCTGCACTGCATATGTTTCTTGATGTCAGTGGGGCGGTGGGGTAGCCTAGTGGTTAAAGCGTTCGCTCGTCACGCCGAAGGCCCGGGTTCGATTCCCCACATGGGTACAACTTGTGAAGCCCATTTCTGGTGTCCCCCGCTGTGATATTGCTGGAATATTGCTAAAACAGCGTAAAACCATACTCAGCAGCAGCAGCAGTCTTGATGTCAGTAGCTGACAAAGGTCATTGGTCTTACACAGCTTTTAGCAACATTCCACCCTTGGGATAGGCTTCACATTGTACTCCAGCTCAAACACATGAGATCTCCAGCTTATTAGCAAACCCACCTGTGAATAATCCTTATAATGCATTGTTTGTTGCCTGTTTAGATTTTACAGAAAGAAGTGTTTGGCTTTCTCAAATCAAATCTTCACAAAGTGCAGTTTGTGTTTTGTGAGATAAGTGTTTTGTAATGTTTATCTAATGATAAAAGATCGGTTTGTTTACAGTGTAAGTATTTTACCTATTAACTCTACATAGCTGTCAGAATACTTCCCTTGACTCTATGTTTTATGTGTTTCAACCAACAATGTTTAACATGTCATAATTATACAACTTTTTCTGAATGGGTGTCTGAAAAGTTGTCTGTAAGTTGGTTCAGTGAGCTGTCAAACCCAAGCAGGATTTCCCAGAAACAAGACTGTTGCAGAGTCACAAAGTGACACTTAACATTTATCAGTATCAACTGAGATTCACTTTAACGTGCATCTCATAATGCATACTACTCAACATCAGCTAAGTATTACACTTTAGAGATGACTTTTGATCCTTAATAAATATTGAGTAGCATACATCAATATCAAGGGTACAACTCATGACATGTCATTTTCCTGTTCATATGTATAAAGCTATGAAGTTGTTCACAAGATGTGATTCAGTCCACCAGGTTTTCAGTTGCCTGCTTGATTTGAAGGTTTCTCAGTTGTGTTAATAAACAATTTTAACTTTTTACCTTGTTTGTTTCATCTTCGAAATCTTATCCTATCTCACAGTATGCACTTCTCTCTCTTGATTCGACACTGAGTGGAACGATGTAAACTTTTTCCCTAGGCCTCTCTTGTCCATCCACCCAAGCACTCCATGCTACCCTCAATTTAAGACAGCTTCCTAGCTCCCGGGTAGTGGTTGTTGAGACTGCTACCACCCCTCAGGATATCTCTACACAGCGGGACCTTCGAACTACACTCTCTGTCTCTCGTTCTCCGGACCAGTTATCTCGGCAACCTGGCTTATCTGTTTCGGACAAGAATCAGCTGATCTCTACACCGGACTGCGCAGAGCGCAGAAGCCATTCTCTCTCATCGTTCATCCAGTAGTGAGAAGAACCAGTCTACCTCGCCTCAATGCCTGTCAGTGGTTACTTCACCGTCTCCTTCCCATTCGGCCTCCAGGAACTGTTGGGCCTCTTGACATCGGCACAGGCAATGACACGGTGGGGACAATTGCAACTGCATCAGTTGCAGCATTTCCTGCGTCCGTATCTCGTCTCAGACAATCTCCAGGAGTTGATTCGTCTTCCCGAACCCTTACGTCATTTTCTTCAGTGGTGGCTTGTCGAACAGAACGTTTGCGCCGGAGTTTGTTTGATGCCGTTCATTGCACCACTTGTTCGTCGACGCGTCGCTCAAAGGTTGGGGGGCTCACTTTCTTCATCATCAGACAGCCGGGCTGTGGTCGTCCGCAGAACGGGTCTTGCGAGTTCTTGGCGGCTCTTCTTGCCATTCGACATTGGGCGACAGAACTTCGGGGGTCCTCCCTGCTGATTCAGACAGACAACTCCACAGTCGTCTGGTACATCAACCATCTCGGGTCGACGGGTTCGGCGAACCTTCTTCAGTTGGCGTTTGGGTTCTTCCATCTGATCGACTCCCTCGTCACCGATGCTCGAGCCAGACACATTCCCGGAGTCAGGAATGTCATCACGGATGCGCTGTCCTGCTCCGATTGGCCATCTCCCGCGGAGTGGCAATTGAAGATCTTTTGGGAACTGGTCTTCCCGTTATCAAGGCCCCAAGTCGACCTATTCGCCACGGGGTTCAACCATCAGCTCCTGCAGTTTGTCTCGCCGATACCAAACCAACCAGCGTGGGATCTCGACGCTCTGGTGATTTTGTGGGAGGGACTCAACCCTTACACCTTTCCACCTCTGGCTGTTCTAGTCATCCAGAAACTCCGAGCGACCAGGCACATTCTACTGATTTTGGTTGTGCCTTACTGGCCAGTCAGGAGTTGGTTTGTCGATCTCGCACAGCTCGCAGACCTAAACCCAGTTCCTCTTCCCAATCGGGACGACCTACTGTTACACCCTCACTCGGATCGGCGCCACATATCCCTTCACACTCTGTCTCTGCATGTTTGGCACATCTGCAGAAGTCCTTAATCGCCAAGGGGTATTCGCGGAGAGTGGCTATGGCCATCACTTCTGCTCATCGGAATTCCACCCACTCACTTTTTGATGAGAAGTGGAAATGTTTTGAGAGATATCGCACGTCCAGAGGCATTACATCCTGTTTCTACTTTGCCTCAAATCGTCGCTGAATTTCTTCAGCATTTGCGGTCGTCTAAGAAGCTCAAGGGTTCCACTTTGGCCACTTACCTTGCTGCGATCAACTTGGTCCTGTCTACCACCACAGGCTCTAAGGTCTCCACGGTTCCTGAGCTTCAGTATTTGCTCCGGTCCTTCAAGTTGGCCGATCAGTCTAAGAAGTTTAGACCTCCTGCTTGGGATTTATCTGTGGTGCTGCGTCATTTGGCCTTGGTTGACTATG